AATTCTTCTTTGGTCTGCCTTATTCATTGTCCAGCTCTCACATGCACATGAGGCAATTGAAAATATCAAGGCTTGTGTCAGGTGCACCTTAGTCCTCAAGGAGACATCCTTGCTCCTCAGCACTTGAAAGAGGTACTTTGCAGCTTATTTGTCCAGTACTATAAGTCATCTGATGTCCTGACTGCTGCTTCCACTGGCATCAATTGTAGAACCAAGCAATGTGAAGTCTTTGACAACTTCAATCTTTTTGCCATTTATCATGATGCTGCTTATAGGGTCCAGTTGTGAGAACTTTTGTTTTCTTTATATTGAGATGTAATCCATACTACACACTGTATTCTTCAATCTTCATCAATAAGTGCTTCAAGTCATCCTCACTTTCAGCAAGCAAAATTGTGTCATCAGTGTATCATAGATTGTTAATGATTCTTCCTCCAATCCTGATGCCATGTTCTTCTTCATACAGTCCAGCCTCTCATATTATTTGCTCAGTTTAAGATTGAATAAGTACGGGGAAAGGATACAACACTCCCTTCTTGATTTTAAGCCATGCAGTGTTCCTTTTTCTGTTCAAACGACAGACTTCTGGTCTATGTACAGGTTCCTTATGAGCACAATTAAGTGTTCTAGAAATCCCATTCATCTCAATGTTATCCACAATTTGTTATGATCCACACAATCAAATGCCTTTGCATAGCCAATAAAACACAAGTAAACATCTTCCTGGTATTCTTTGCTTTGAGCCAAGATTCATCTGACATCAGCAGTGATATCCCATGTTCCACATCCTCTTCTGAAACCATCTTGTATTTCTGGAAGTTCTCTGTCAATATACTGCTGCAACCGTTTTGAAATTACCTTCAATAAGATTTTACTTGTATGCAATATTGATATTGTTCAACAATTTCCACATTTTGTGGGATCACCTTGCCTTTGTAATGTGTACAAATATGGATCTCTTCCAGTCAGTTGGCCAGGTAGCTGTCTTCCAAATCTCTTGGCATACCGAATGAGTGCCTCCAGTGGGACATCCATTTGTCAAAACATCTCAGTGGGTATTCCATCAATTCCTGGAGCCTTGTTCTTTGCCAATTCTTTCAGTGCAGCTTCGACTTTTTCCTTCAATACCATTGGTTCTTGAACATATGCCACCTCCTGGTATGGATGAAGATCAACCAGTTCTTTTTGGTACAGTGACTCTGTGTATTCTTTCCATCTTCTTTTGATCCTTCCTGCATCATTCAACATTTTGCCCTTAGAATCTTTCAATATGGCAACTCAAGGCTTAAATTTTTTCCTCAGTTCTTTCAGCTTGAAAATGCCAAGCAAGC